CTCATTCCCACACAATTTCGTGGACCCGTCCCGAAGGGTAGGTATGTGTAGGGAATGAGTCGGTCCTTGTTTTCGGGCATAAATCTGTCGGGAATGAACCGATCGGGTGAGGGATAGTATTGCGGGTCGTGGTGTATGGCATACAGCGGTATGTGAACTGCCATTCCCTTGTGTACCACTAATCCTGTGTCACCTGTTTGGGCGAAATTCAGTTCAAATATAACAAATGCTTGTTTGATAGAGAAAATCATTTGTACCCAAATCGTAGTCTTCGGACGCAATCCGTTGTGACATAACTAGAGGTGAATAGAGTCGGAGTGTCTCTGAAATACATGCGTCCAAATACGGCATCTTTTCGATTGTCTCGTATTCAACATTTGGACCAAATTTGGTGATCTCTTCAAACAATTTGTGTTGCGATTCCGGATTCAGCGCCAACTCGTGAAAGAGATACGATAGAGTAGAGGCCGTCGTCTCATAACCGGCCAAAACGAATAACAGAGCCGTCGCTAAGATATCCATGTCTTGCAATTGGAAGCCCTTCTTCTTCATCGATTCGCTAATCCTCTGCACTTCAAGCCTAATGTCTTCGTCGATGTCTTTCGTATCGGTTCTGTTCTGAGCGTCGATTAGGAGTTGTAAAAAGTCAACGTTTTTTGGCCCCTTCTGGGACTGCCTTTCGGTTATTATAGTTTCCAACTATTAATTAAATAACAAAATTATGATAAGTTATTAATCAATCATTTAATTAATGACTTCTGAATGAATTCAATAATTTACTGTTGTTTTAAAATAATTGATGTAATGTTTGGGAAGGAAAGAGATGTCGTATTTCTTAACAATCGATGGCATCAATTGGTTGAGAATGAAGAACAGACCGAACCGTACGGTCGGTCTGAAAAATTGGGACGCGTTGTGAATGAATGGGTGCTCTTCGGCGCCGCTATGCGACTGGAGTTTAGTGGCGAACGCACACAACGCTATCACATCCATCGTGTAATTGACAAACACTTTCTTTATGTCAATCTCGTTGTTCTCACTGTTGGCCAAAGTTTCCAACTTATTGTCCACTCTTTCCACACAATCTTTGATTAAAATTTGCATTTTTCTCATTTTGCCGCTCGAGAAGGTTGGGCTCACCTAAGGGTCCGCCAAAATGGATAAACTAATTATTTATTAAACCAATGAAAAGTTGCATAAATTATGCGTGAATTTCTACTAACAATAGTCCGGATCTGTTTCCAGACATCTCCGCGGGCTGTGAGCAGCGATCGCTCAAAGATCGGGTGACCCAACGATATGCCCACTCTGTCCACAAACTTG